ACCCTTCCGGTAAGTGTCTCCCAAACCTCTTCTGTTTCTTTAATGCACCACAGTCTACTATTCACCCATTGGCATTTCAAATAGTTCCAGATTTAAGCTAAAATAGTTTCAAGTTCTTTATTATATTTCATACAGCTGTAAACACTTTCAAACAGAAGGGTTGTTTTTTTTTAAGTTTCATGTATTATTTTCTTGGGCCTAAGCCTACAAAGCGCTATTACCAGGTTAAGCCACAGGATACTCCATTCACCCCCTAGATTTTGAGTGTGGTGTGGAGTCTGATGCCATAGTTCTATCGTGACACCCAGCTTCCCAGGGGACATGCTAGGTTTCTTAATTGGTTTTATCATCAGCATCAACAAGCCCATTTAAGGCTTCATTTAAATATGCCAGACTGATCACATGTTTATGCCTCCTCTCACTGTCAAGACTCTTGACAAAATGAGAATAAACGAATAAAAATGTATTTATTTATCTGCAAAGATAAGGAGAATGGGGGACAAGATATCAGTAGACAAGAAATTTCAACCCGTGTTGGAAAAACAGAAGCCAGAAAGAGCTGTAGTTACTAACAGCAGAGAAAATCATATTTGAAAAAGCCTCAGAGATGAGAAACCACTTCTCCCACAGAGTCTCTGAGATTCTCAGACTATCAGTCAGATACTGCAGAAAGGGGTGAGGCATGAAGTTGGAAAAGCAGGTTGGTTAAAAGTCTGTGTGTAGGGACTGGCTTAGACTCCCTGGCTCTCTCTCCCATGTTGTGTTAGAAAATACACACAATTTACTCTCTCCAAACCCTGCTCCAAGCAGGAGATGGGAGATTTACTTTCTTTAGAACTCAAAGGAAAAATCTCCGAACTCAGAGATCCCAGACCCAGTGGAGGACATTAACTGAAGAAATTAAATTCAACAGTAAATGCTGAATGGTGGGTGGTCCTTACCTTGCCCACTCTCATGACATTGGCAGCAGGTACGGAGTCCACACACAGGAAACTGGAGCATTCTTCAGAGAACAAAACTCCGGAGAGTGACTTTTATGCTTCACTTCAAAATTAAATGGCCACTTCACTGCCTTGATTACCCTGCAAAAAAGCCTTCCAGCTGACACATCTCACCTGTGCATGCAGAGATTCCTAGAAACTCTTCACTGCCTCTTTTTTTATTACAAATGGACAGCCAAGGATTATTGTCATTTTAGGAAAGCCTCCAACATGAATGAGAAAGATAAAAACAAAGAGAGGAAAGAGATAGAGTGCAGAATATGGAAGAAAATCCTCCCCAAAGTAAATACCCCTAAAGGGATAAGTGAACATGTTGCATTCAGAAAATGAGAACAGAAAGTTTTCAAAAAAGAATAATTAAGAATCAGAATGTGCTCTTGAAAATCAAAAATTAAGTGATATCAAGGAACTCTCCCAGAAAGTTAAAAAAAGGGCAAAGAGGTGGGGAAAAGAAGAAGAAAAACAAGATATTAAAGTTTCAACCTAAAAAGTACATCAGGGTCCAGAAAGAGAAAACAGACAGATGGGAGGGAAAAAATTACCAAAGAAACTATATAAGAAAGTTGTGTGAGGGGCCGGCCCGGTGGCGCACTGGATAGTGCGACGCTTGGGAAGCGCGGCGGCACTCCCGCCTGAGGGTTCGGATCCCACGTGCAGACCGGTTCCCGCTCACTGGCTGAGCGAGG